TCCAGGGACGCACTGTCTCCCTTGTCCCTCTTCCCACGGCGGGAGCATCAGCTGGACAATGTAAAGCGTGTCCAGACCATGCCCTCCAGATGAGTTCTAATCTGTACAGAAACTCCCCCTGTGCTCACACTGGCCCCGCATGGCATGGCTCGTTGGCGTCCAGCGCAGCCTGCTGTGGCCGCAGGGAGAGCTGGGCCCGGTCAGCAGTGTGGCCTGCTGGGGGTGGGGGAGGGACCATGGGACAGGGGCAGGGAGCCCATGTGCCCCGGTGAGGGGGGAACTAACATCACCTTGTCCCCTTCACCGCCTCTGCAGCTACTTCCTGAGCACGGAGGACCTGCCCCGGAGACGGCAGCTGTACAGGTGGGCACTCCTCCCCATCCTCACAGAACTGCAACTCTGCAGCGGTCAGGACGGAATGACAAGTAGCAGTAAGGCCTGGAGGGAAAAAATGCAGAGTGCCAACCTAAAACTTTGCTCCATCCTTGTGCGTTTGTTGGATGGAGATTCCCCCATCACAGGCTCACGTAGTTTCCCCTCCTGAGGGCCACTGGGCTGCTTCCCATCTTGAACTTGGGGAGCAAGTCTCCCCTTCATTTCACGCTTAAGAAACTGGGGTCAGGAAGCAGCCACCCCTAGTCCTGCTGGTGTTACACTCCAGTGTTAGGCGCTCAGAGAACGGGGAGACGGTAAAATCCTTCCACCGCCCTCAGATTGCCAGACCGCTCAGAGAATGTCACTGGAATGAAAGGCGTTGAATGACTGTGGCCATGGCCATGCCTCCTCCCTCCGGGACCCGAATGGAGCCCCAGTGACACAGCCCACCCGTTAGATGCCATCCAGCAGCCAGAGCACCTAGCCGTCTCAAAAGTGGGAGGGCCCTGCATGCCAGAAGGTTCCCAGAAGGGAGTCACAGCAAGCTCCCCGGGACAGGCATGTCGGGGAGCATCGGCCCAGCAGGTCCAGGCCTGACTGTGGCTGCTCTGCCCCCACCCTGCACCCTCGCTCATGCCACACCTCCGTCCCTCCAGTGCCGACACGGTGGGCAACTTCAACCGGCAGTGTCTGTCCTGCGACCTTGTGGAGAACTGCACCTACTTCAGCGCCAGCTTCAGCCACAGCATGGACTTCTTCCTGCTCAAGTGCGAAGGTGAGTGGCCGCCACCCTAGGCGTGTCTGCGGCGGGGGCTGGGGCTGAGAGCGGCCTGGCCACACTTCTCGTAGCCCACAGCACCACAGGCCAGTGGCCTGCAGGGCGGGAGCCGAGCACCTTTTCATGGACTGTGCAGGCACACTGGCTGTGCGGGCTCACAGGCTGTGCGGGCTCACAGGCTGTGCGGGCACACCAGCTGTGCGGGGTCACAGGTTGTGCGGGCACTCCGGCTGTGCGGGCTCACGGGCTGTGTGGGCTCACGGGCTGTGCGGGCACACCAGCTGTGCGGGGTCACGGGTTGTGCGGGCACTCCGGCTGTGCGGGCTCACGGGCTGTGCGGGCACACCAGCTGTGCTGGCTCACGGGCTGTGTGGACACTCCGGCTGTACGGACCATGCAGGTTGTGTGGGCACACCAGCTGTGCGGGCTCCCGGGTTGTGCGGGCACACCAGCTGTGCGGGCTCCCGGGCTGTGCGGGCACACCGGCTGTGCGG